AATTTAGCACTTTTCCATTACGGTCCATTTTAGAAAAATCATGTATAAACAAAAATTATAGAAATCGATATCGCAAACAACTTTTAGTTCAACAATTTTCATAAAAATCAGAATTTTGCACATTTTGTCAAATTTCTCGAATACGGACCATTTCAGAAAATTTTGACATAAAGCAAAAATTATAGATAAAAATATTAGAAGTAACTTTTATTTGAACAATTTTCTTCTCCAAACATAAATAACAGATATATTCCATAAAATATAAAAACGGCCTCCCATAAAGTACCCCCCCAGATGTTCCGACTTTGTCCAAAATCTAATCATTTCACGTCAGGCCGAAATAAACCTTAAGTTTAAAATTTAATGTTTTTTCCTTTATCCGTTTTTGAGTTTTCTTCAAATTTCGAAATTTACACATTTTCTCAAATATCTCAAATACGGTCCATTTTAGAGAAATTATGTATAGGACAAAAATTATAGAGAATTATATTACAAACAACTTTTATTTGAACAATTTTTAAAAAAAAATATTTTTTTACATTTTGTCAAATTTCTTGAATACGGACCATTTTAAGAAAATTTTGCATGAAACAAAAATTATAGATAATTATACTAGAAGTAACTTTTATTTGAAGAATTTTCTTCTCCAAACGTAAATAACAGATATATTCCATAAAATATAAAAATGACCACCTATAAAGTACCCCCCCAGATGTTCCGACTCTGCCCAAAATCTAATCAGCTCATTGGACGCTAAAACAAAGCTTAAGTTTAAAATTTGGTGTTTTTCTGTGTATCGGTTCATGAGTTATGCGTTATACAGACACACACACACACACACACACACACACACACACACACACACACAGACACACAGACACACACACACACACACACACACACACATACACACACACAGACATCATCGCGAAAATAGTCAAAACGGATTCAGGGGACCTCAAAACGTAAAAATCCGTCGAAAACTCGAGGTCGAAAAAAATCATGATTCCTATACTTTCCTTATATCTGTATACAGATAGGAAAGTAAAAATATTAAATAAGATTTTTCCTTTTCATATTAATTTTAGTCTCTGTGAAATTATTCATTTAATTTAATTTAAAGCATTTTATCTAAATCCTTTTCAAATTTTCCTTCATCTATCATAACATTTTAATCCTTTTTAGTCCATGGCAATCTCTAGACTGTTCGAGTTCGAATACAAATAAGAATCATATCTTGAAGATCATTTACGGTTCAGTCACGAATAGGAGTAATAGGAGTCTCGAATGAGAGTTATGAAATAGAATACCGAATCAATTGGTGGAAGTTGCCTGACCGGTATATAATGTTTAGCGATTGATGTATCTCTGCAGTTTGGGACGAAGGAAGAAATACCTGATTTTTACCTTTAACTATTTTTTACCATACCGTATATTACCTTATTTACCACACAGATAAGTGCAATTTATCTAATCAATAAATTGTTTTAAATTTGCATTATTTGCAAACTTATGTGAATTAGAATTTGATACCTACCTTATCTAAAGCATTTTTTAAAGTATAATTTGTTAATGGTTAGAGATTTTCAATATTTTTATCACTAATGTAGAGTTTAGTGTATAAGCTTTATATATAGTGGTACCCAACTTCTTTTTCAAAGTTATTAGAGTAATTTAAAAACCCACGCACTATAAATTAAGCTCAAACACATATATCAAAGTAGATAAAATAACCAGGTATTCATATTTCACAGGCACGTTTTCTATTACCATATCCAATCAACATTCGTATCTGAATTTGTTTCATGATACAATAAAGAGAAGGAATGATATTACGCAGATTGATACTATGCGTTACGATGACGTATTGTGGTGGAAGGTGGAAGTAGGGTTGCCACCTTTTTGAAAAGTGAATAAAGGACTACGATGCGCTCCGGTATACAAAAAATCCTCATCCTTCTACTGAATTACAAAAAAAAAGTCGTCAGCTTATATATTTTTGAACAAACTATGTCCATTCCAAAGATATTGTAATGTGAGCCATTTCATTATTCAGTCATGCTCTAATACTCCAAGTCCCTCTCTGTATTATTTGGCCTTTGAGGCTCAACTTGTCCGCTTATTATACATAATTAAACCCCTTAAGACCAAACCTATGGGCGACTATGGTGGACGTGTTTTCGATGATGTTCGAGAAAGGACGAGATAATGTTTCTAGTATTGGAGAGAATATGTGAACTTACTAGAACGTTCGCCATTTTTTTAAATTTGTATATAAATTGGCGGAAGAACACGGAGCAGTTTAGTTGATATATGGACAGTGAAGATAAATAGTAATTAGTAGATAGACAGTGGTGAATATAAATAGTGATCAGTTTAAAGACATTCGAAGTATATATAAATTAGAATAATTGTGTTTTAAAATAAATAATTGTTTAAATAAATTATTAATAAATAAACTGTTGTTTGAAAATAAACAAACATCACATTGGTGTCAAGAAGTGAAATAGTGTAAATAAATAGTGGACAATAATGGCTAAAAAACTGTGTGACTTAAAAGTGCCTGAGCTACGTCGAGAATTAGAAGAACGTGAACTGGAGACGGCAGGGAAGAAATCAGAGCTGGCACAACGACTTAAAAAAGCACTAGAAAATGAAGGTTTGGATCCGGAAACGTTTCTATTTTCGGATGATGCGTCTTCTATAATTTCTTCAATTTCCGATATGAAAAACGATATGTGTTCTTTAAAAACCGATATTTCTTCTAATATTTCCTCATTGGAAAATAAAGTTTCTTCCATGGAAAATAAAGTTTCTTTAGATGTTTCCTAAATAAACTGTTGTTTGAAAATAAACAAACATCACAATATGTGCTTGTAAAACAAAGACATTTGCCGCAAAAAAAACATTTGCCGTAAAAAAGACATATACCGTAAAACAGGACATTTTAAGCTTTATATAATTACAAGGACATTTTGCTTCAAAAAAGGACTCTCCTTTTCAACTGTCCTTTTCAAAAAAGGACAGGTGGTAACCCTAGGTGGAAGGCATGGCTTTTACGAATTTGACATATCAGCTGTTCGAAAATACATTTTAATCGGCTCATTACCAATCAGATAACCATATTCCACACCACAATGCGTCATGCGTGAACTCGGCGAGATTTCGTCGGGTAAGTATCATACCTTTGTTTTTTTTGTATCCTGTTTTTTTTTGTATCACGGATTCGTTCCCTTTGTGATAAGTTTGCCACTATTCTTAATTTATTTTTTAACGCTATAGATATCAAAAACAGTTAAGACTAAATTAAGTTTTACCAGTGGTGAACCAAGAATAGTGAAAAATAAAAGTAGATCAATAAAACTGCGATGTTATAGGGTTTTTCATTATTAATGTAGTACTTTTTTTAGTATTCTACAAAAATAGGTATGAATTAAGCTTTTCTCTGATATATCACTCGATCTACGTTGCCATTTAAAAAAAAATCAAGAAGGCCGTGGTATGCTAAACGCTGATGTCTACAAATTTGACTTGTCCTCTAACAAATTCAAAATATAGTCCCAATCACCACCCTATAATTTCATATTTATACATTCATTCCTTTCATATAAAACACCGTATTGCCAGACTTTTTCGTTGTCCTATATAATTAACTTGACAAAATTTGTCATCATTTGATCAATAAAAAAATAATAACCCAATTCAACTCTACACCACTGTCCTTTCCAGAGATAATGAATTGATTTATAATATATTACAGTGTATCCCCTTTTATCAATTAAATTGTGAGCAGATAACCTTCCATAATATAAACTTTGAATTTCTTTATTAATTTAAAATAAATTAAAGTTTGACGTCTTGAAAATATTTTAAGTTTATCTTTTGATATAAAAAACATGTATTGTTTCAAAATTATCTTCTTTTAAATCAAAATTATTAAAAAGAATTAATACTAATTTTTTTCAAGCATTCATAAATTAAAATAATTATTGAGTTTTTTCGGTTTTTTTAATATTTAAATGATACACCTAGGGTTTGAAATAAAGGATATGGTAGTTTTCAAATCGCATTTTTTTTTAAATTTTAACATTTCTTGCATAAAAACTTTTTTAGATCAAAACGATTTTGAATAATATTTGATTTGAATAATATAAATAAAAAAATTCTACATGATAAATGATAATCCAAAAATTGTATTTTGGAACACCTTATACCTTGCCAACATTTTAATTTTACGTCAGAAACATTTTATATCTATTGAAGCCCTAATGTTTTTAAGTACATTTTTTTATTTATAGATTATTCCTGTATATAAAATTATACAGGATGCTTCATACTTACATAAACGAGGCGTTTTTAGTAATATGAAAATTTTCTTGAAGTATTATTGAATCACCCTCTATAATATATATTAATATCCATGTTAACGATTTCAGGTAATACTAAATAATCTGAACATGCAGCGAACCAAATGAAAACCAACTTGTAGACAATAAAAATTCTGGTTTGCGTTTTTCATATATTGTATAATATTTATTTAATAAACAGAATCTGTATGGAAACATTTTGTATAATTCCTTCGTATTTTAAACTTTAAATTCCTTCAATTTCCAATTTTTTTATATACACGCCTGTGTTTTAAAGCTATATCAGTCACCTTTATTAATAACACTCACATTTATCTATACAGTGCAACTCAAAATTATTGATTTTGGACTATATCCGAATATTAAATCAAAAAGTGCAGAAATTAAAATCAAAAATTAATCTATTTTTGGAATTTTTACAAAAAATAAATAGTAAATTTATGTTTTTATTTTGAGTGGCACTAATAATACAAAATAATACAATTTGTTTTGATTTTTAATGTTTCAAATCAAATTAAAGATAATCCTTTAACTATAACATGATTTGCAACAAATTAAAATCGGCAATGGTTTAGATTTAATTTTTAATACGTTTTTTTTAATATAAATAAATAAAATTGTGTTTATTTAAATAAATTACATTGTTTGTTTCTGTTTTATAATTTTCAATTTTTTTTTATTGTTTTAAATTTTCATTTCTTGAGACGCCACTGACTAATAGATAATGCGTACCTATTTAAACTGACTTGAGGCAAAAATTTCCTTCTAAGTTGTGAAGGATTTTATCGAGAAGGCGCTAAAATGAGGATATTGGTAAGTTTAAAAACAACAGTGTTTATGTTATCAAATTTGCGTCATTTTTCGTTTCGACAGAAATATTGAATAAAACTTTATTGCAAAATCTTGAACTCATATTTGTTTTTAAATTAATTTAACCCAACAATAATTAAGAAATACTATGAAAATTTATCCTAGGTAATGTATAATTTTCGTTTTAGTATTTTTGCAAAATAAACAGATAATAGTTATTTATAAAGTGTGTACAAAAAGTAATGTAACTTGCTAATATTTTTATGAAATAAATCAAAGTTATCAGAAAGAAATGTACCGGGTGCACCATTACTTCAAAATAACACATGGACATATTTATTTAAATAATACGTAAGTTACCATTTTTTTTATTGCGTGCGCCATTAATGTAACTATACAGGGTGATACAGAAAATTCACGATTAATGAAATTGTTAAAAAATATCCCATTTTAAACTGAATCCAGAAATCAAGTATTGAAGACAAAATATATGTTAAAATAGTAAAGGATAAGGGAGCACGTCGAAATTTATTATACAGTGTGACGAAAAAAAATTATACACATGAGCAAAAAAAATTTTTTTTTATTCAATAACTTAAACAAAATATATAGTTATGTTTTCCCTGTATACTACCTATATTTTAAAAAATGTAATGTTTGATTATGGATTCCCAAATGATGCAGAACATTTTATCAAGAATATATATTTTTTTTTTTGAAAAACAAGACTTTTTTTATGTGTATGAAAATTTTTGGGACACACTGTATAATAGATTGCGACGTGCTCTTCCAGCACATCGTTATTTATTTATTTATTTATTTAGGGGCAAGCCCATTTATGAAATAAAATACAATTTTAAAATTATAATTAAAATGTAGTGAAATATACAGTATGTCCCCCTAAGTTGGAATCATATGGAAAACTTTTTTATTATTAATTTTAGGAATAAAAGTTATTCTTCATAAAAAGTTGTGCATTATCTAAAACCTAGAATACAGTCATCAAATATCAAATTGTTTCAGTGGTATACGAGGTTTGTCAAAAAATATGAATTTTGCTCAAGAGTAAAGACGTTTATTTTTGATAAAATCGAAAATTGCTAAATTCTTTACAAACATCAGGTTTATAGTAGAGAAGAGAGAGAAAAAATTATAGATTACCGTAATTAGGTGGATCAATGCAAATCTAGATCTAGATCGGTGTAATTGCATATTTGAATGTAATTTTCAATTCTAATCAACTTTTCTTAATGAAAATTTTCTTTTTTGTCAAAAATGAACGTACTTTACTCTTGAGCAAAATTCATATTGTTCGACAAACCTCGTATACCACTGAAAAAATTTGATATTTGATGACTGTATTCTAGGTTTTAGATAATGCAGAATTTTTTATGAAGAATAACTTTTTTTCCTAAAATTAATAATAAAAAGTTTTCCAAATGATTCCAACTTATGGGAACATACTGTATATGGTGCTGAAATACAATCGTGGTATAATTCATTACATATAGACTAAAATAGGTAAAGAATTTAAAAGATTTAAAAAGACAAAAGACAAAAGGTTGAATAAAATATTTACTTTAAACATTAAAAATTAAAGATCAAAGACTAAAGCTCAGTACGAAGTAACTGCTTTATAAATTTATGAAAAGAGGAGTAAAATATCTCAAGATCGTTATGAGTGTTGGCTAATCTTAACATTCTTGGAATACAGCTGCCAGAGCTGTCACCTATCAGTGAGATTTAAATCATTTTTTGATTTAAATACATTTTTTGATTTAAATACTTTTTAAATATTTTTTAAAAAAATGATTTTTGATTTATGATTTAAATCTTTTTGAAAAGTATCTTTGATTTTTGTTTAAAAATTAGATTTAAATCTTTTTAAAACGATTTAAATCTTTTGAAAAGATTTAAATCTTTTTAAAACGATTTAAATCTTTCGAAAAGATTTAAATCTTTCCTAAAATGATTTAAATTGTAAAAAAGATTTAATTCTAAAAAGGATTTTTGATTTAAATTTTTCTTTTTAAAAAATCGATCTTTGATTTAAATCATTTGTTCAAATGCAAATGATTTACGATCTTTGATTTAAATCGTTTTTAAAATGATCTTAAACAGCTCTGGACAGCTGCTAAAAGTATGGTTTAAACAATAAAAAGGTACATAAAATGCAAACAATAGTACTTTGCCTTATTGAAAACAATGAATGATGTCATTTATAAATAAGTTGAATAATAAGGGACCAAGGTGTGATCCTTGAGGAACACCTGAGGTAACTTGAAATAAATAGTGATGGTTTACTTTAACCATTTGAGTTCTGTTCGTAAGATCCATTGCAGTACGACCCCATTTATGCCATATTTATCGAGCTTTTGAAGTGAGAGAGAATGGTTGACCCTTTCAAAAGCCTTAGAAAAGTCAGTGTACACAGAATCAATCTGGCAACCCTTCTCCAAAGCTTCCGACAGGAAGTCGACGTAGGTAACTAGATTTAATTCAGTCGATTTCCCAGCACAAAAACCATATTGATGATCCGTTATGATGCCAGAGCAGTCATAGGTAAGGTACTTTGTTATAATGTTCTCAAAAACCTTAAAGGTATAGTACTGAGAATAGATATAGATCGGTAATTTTTGACGTCTGACTTGCTACCCGATTTGTATATTGGGGTGACACAAGATATGTAGTTTCCAATAATATAGAAACTCACCCGTGGCGATAGATTTATTGAAAATATAGCAGAGAGGGCGAGACAATACGAAGCTGCAATTTCTGAGTAGGATGGGAGGAATAATGTCAGGACCTGGACCTTTCTTTATGCCAAGATTAGATAATTTCTCGTAAATAGTCGAAATAGGAAACATTAAATTTTGATTCAATATCGTTAAAATTTTGATTTAGATTTTGATTAGTGTAAACTGATGAAAAATGCTTGGCAAAAAGATTTGATACTTCACGGCCACAAGAAGCAAAAGATTCTTCAAGGTTCATATTATTAGGTATGGTGTTATTTAAAAACTTTTGGTACTTACAAAATCCTAAAAGGCTTCAGCATTACTATTAACAGAAATTTCAACAGAACGTATTTAATTTGAATAGCATTCTCTAAATATAATCTTGCATTGTGATCTTAACTGACTAAATATTTCATAATTTTGGGAAGTCCTGTTTAGCTTGTAAATCTTATGTGCAACCTTTTTATCGTTGATCAAGCTTCTGAGTTGAAAAGAATACCAATGTGGGAATCTGTTAATAACAAATTTCTTTAAGGGGACAAATAACTCAATTACCGAGTACAAAGCGTCATAAACAGTAAGAATCATTTCTGAAAGTTCCTTTCCTTGAAGAAGCCCATCCCAATCCATTGCCTCCAAACATTGGGTATACCCTCAAAATTGGCGTGGCGCAAATCATAATAATACTCTTCTCCAGGAGCATCACTTGAGTTCGTCTTATATTAAATTGAAGTTTCAAGAGGATGATGAATATCAGGTGGGATCAATATATCAACGGTTTCCATCACTGTAAGTTCCACTGGGGACAAAACAAGGTCGAGGATAACTCCTCTTAGGTTGAGCACTTTGTTGGACTGGAAAAGATTGTAAAAAGCGTATATGTTCGAGACGATTTTGATAGCACCTTCTTTCGGTAATAATGAACTGGGATGAGCTGAAGCTGAAGAGCAAAAATCTTCAATATCCCATGTTGGTGTAGGTAGAATACAATCGCCAAAAATATAAAATTGACTGACCGGACGTTGCTTATTTAGCATTAAAAGTTGATCAAAGTGAAGTTGGTATAGATTAGAATAAGATTTAGGAGGCATATATATGGCTCCTAAAATATGTTTGCAGTTTCAGTGGTCCAAGTGAATAAACAGTTGCTCAATAGATGATACTCGAAGAGAACGTTTTCCCAACAGCTATTAAAACACCTCCACCTCTGTTAAGGATGCTGGACTGGGGGTAACGATCCTGTCTGTAGATGTTGTAACCGTTAAGACCAAGTTCGTTGATATCAGCTTTGAGCCATGTTTCAGTAAGAATAATTACATCGTAGGAAGAATTTGTAACATTGAGACATAGCTGGGATATTTTTGAAAGAGTAAAACCAAATTTGGTAGATTTTCACACTTTTATTTTAAAAATAAAATTTTTTTTTTTTTTAAACAAACACTAACATGACATATGTTTCGAAGTACAACTTCTTTTTCAAATGTGACTATTTACAATTCGGTATCCAATATATATACAAAATAATTTAACAAAACAAAGTACTTAAGAAAACATCAATAACATTACAAAATAAACTAACTATTTAAAGTAAATAAGGGTACTTAGGTAATTATAATATCCATCAAATAACAATAAGATAGCCCATTACCGGGATTATCTCACAGAAAACTGGGAAAGAGGTTTAATAAGGGTGAATTATTAATATCTAATTGATCATTTAGTAAGTTATCTGAATTTTTAAATCTATTTATTTCAAGTGTTTCTAAATGGTTTAATTTAAGGCTCTTATTTTCTACATGTAAAATTTCAAAGTTGTCTGTAAAAGAATGATTTTCAGCTAAAATATGATTTGAGTAAGTAGAATTATTTTTGTTTTTTGTATAGCTATTATAATGTTCGGAATAGCGTTTTTTGAAAGTACGGCCTGTTTGACCAATATACAATTTTGGACAACTACCACAATTTAATTTATATACCCCCGATTTATTATTAGGATTAATTTTACCCTTATTGTTTTTAATATACTTCCCAAGCGTATTATTGGTTTTAAAAGCTACGTTAATATTTTGGTTTTTTAAATATGATGATACCTTTTCACTAGGAGCTCCTATATATGTAAGACTCTTATATCTGCAATTTGGATCTTTAATTATGGGATAAACTTGTTGAATAGCCTGTTTAAAAAGTTTTTTCTCTAAAATGTTGTCTACTAACTTTGAATTAAAGTTATTATTTACTGCGATTTGTTTAATGATATTTAATTCT